TGACCTTAAAATTGACCTTTGACCTACTTTTCACCATGAACTGAACTTTGCAAATTTTGCTTCCCTTTTATCTCCAAAACTGGCAGAGATAGGTCCATAGTTACTATTGAACTTGAATAGAAAGTCATATACTGGCAATCTAAGTGTGACCTTGAAATTGACCTTTGACCTACTTTTTATCATGAACTGAACTCTGCTAATTTCTTTCTCTTTTAACTTCAAACTTGACAGAGATAGGTCCATAGTTACTCTTGAACTTGAATAGGAAGTCATATACTGGCAATTTACTGTGACCTTGAAATTGACCCTTGACCTACCTTATGAAGAACTTAAATTTGATTGTACCATATATATTTTTTGCAATAGTTTAAAAATTCTTGTTGATTGCATTTTTACAGCTTGTCAAGCACAAAACTGGTGGCTGTGTCCCTTATTTTGTGTATGTGGGGGTCTATACGAATGCGCTTGCTCCAGCTGGTGGTACAATATTCGGAGGCGGTATCGCCTCTCTGATCCTCTAGTTTAATTATTGTCTTTCTCTGTATGCAAAATTCAGAAATCTATCTTTTATGCTTGTTTGTTTTGCAGAACATTTGACAGCTTTGAAAAAAGTGTAAAGACTATTTCTGCATGATATCATAAACAAACCATTTTTATTTTAGGAAGCTTTGACGGCTTTTCGAGATCTGATCAAGCAACTGTGCCAGGGAATTAATCTCCCCAGTTATGAAACGGCAAACGGAAACTTGGTTAGAAGAGTTATTAATGATGGTTTTATTTCATTCAGTGTCATTCATTTCACTCATCAAGTTCAAAAGTTGACAGTAAAAATCAAAAGTATCGACAAAAGAGAAAAATACCATGCCTAATAAGTGGGTCTGTAATTGCAGAAAACAAATGTGACAGGTCACTTATACATTATTCTCAAAAGCTTGGCAGAAGTTGACTTAATCACCATAGTGATTAACTATCTTGTCCATTTCAGCCTCTTCCTCATGCAACAGTATTAGGTTCTGGGTTCAGATTCATGGACGCATATGCTGCAGAAGGTTTGCTGGGCGTCTGTGTGTTCTTAGTGAAGGTAAGGCTAATTTAGGAGTATAGAACTGCCAAACATATGTTTCTGTTTTGAATGTCAGATCCTGAATTAGTTTAGAATATTACCTTATGAACAATCTGACTATCCAACCATTAATGGTGCTATTTTATAAAATTACTTTTTCAGATAGTGTGCACTCTGCACAATTTTTTTTTACCCCATTGGGTTTTTACAGTTTAAAACGTTTGTTTCCTTGGTAAAATGTGGGGGAAATCGGAGAATAATGATGATTACCCCTGCCCTTTCTAACCTTTTCTGCTCCCATCTTTATAAAAAATTCAGAGAAACTCAAGTGTGAGGAAGATTTTTTCTCCCTTTCTCTAATATTCTCTGGGGGAAAATCAGGGGAGATTGGTAATCTTTTTTTTTTAACATTCTCTTGTCCCTTCCCTGTATATTGTATTTTATATTTTGTTTGTTTCTAGCACATCCCTCCTGGCTTCCTGCTCCCAAACTGGCCCCTGTATTTCTCTACATTCAGCCTGTACCTCATGCACCCTGCCTCCACAGTGAGACAGGCAACCAGCACAATATTCAAGTACCTCGGTAAGTAGTGAGAGTTGAACCAAATGTGGGTTTGAAAAACAGGGTGCGTGGTGTGCAAAAGTTTTATCATGGCAACTTACAGGTCCATGTTATTTGTAGGAGGGATGGGGGGGGGGGCAGGAATGGAAATCAAGGAGGAGTGGAAAGCATTTGCTGAATGCCTTGTCTTAAGGCAAAAGAAAAAGAAAAAAAGAACCATGAACAATGTTATTGATAACACTTTACTAATGTATGAATACCACTCAGAAAAGCTTCTTATTTTATGTATTTACTTCTATGCAGTTGCCAAAGATAGCAGTAACCCCACTCTCCTGAAGCTGGTATTACAAAACTTGAGCACTGACTGGAAAGTTAACATGGACCTCTTGCTCCAGCCCTGCAACCTTCAGCATTTCTGCCACTTCAAACCTCTCAAAACAAGGGGAGAAAGAAAGGACAGCGCAGGTAGCCCAAGGTAGGGGAGAGCAAAGGAATGTGCATCTTAATAAAAAAAAGAGAAAATAAAAATATAAACAAGCTGTTGCTAGAGATTTAAGTTACATGATGTTAGGAAATATGCTGATGATGTAATTTGGTAATATTGCTACTACAAGAGATCCTTTCAGAATCTGAAGAATTTGGTGTCCATCTTTTTTATGGAAGCCATTTTGTATTATAACAGGTCCCATGACAGTCATCCCTCATTAGGTCCTTCAAGGACTAGATCCTACTCCTGGACGTGCCCCAGAGGGCGGAGAAAAAGCATCACAAAGTTAGACGAAACTGCAAGTAAGTCGACATCCTCCTTGGATGAAATTAATAATCTATTCAGATTTCTGTATAATGATTGAATCATCAGTTCTTTTGTATAAATCAGAATTGACAAAAATCAAAGATTAGCGTATAATGTGTAAATTATGTGTGTTGTGCAAGCACTCATAAGATAGAAAAATATTATATTACATTATTAAAAAGCTTTTAATGTTTAATAATTGGGGTCATTTTTGTTGCTGTCAAAAGTGGTCATTGGTATGTGGTCACTTTGTTATTTTATTATGCTGAATGGATACAAGGTATTAGGACCAGTGCCAGGAATTATATTTTTAAAGAAAAAATATTATTACAAGTGCTAGTAATAATTAATTCTTAAGAAAGAAACATTTTTATTTATTTATTTATTTATTTATTTATTTATTTATTTATTTATTTTTTAGATTTAAAAAAATTACTCATTTGCTTCTATTTTTTTTTCTTTTTGAGAACAGTTAGTATGTATTTAGTGTGGTATCACACATGCTGAACAATGATAGTAGAACATAAAAGGTCTCAGCCAAAGAAGCGTTCAGAACTAGACTTACTAAAAACAGATATTTCCCTCCTATTGTGTTGTAGATCTTTTGCTTTTAAGTATTCTGGCGCCATTTTCAAAAACCTGTTTGCTTATGTGACTTCTCATCACAGGCTTCATGTACTAAATCTGTGTTTCAAATACCCAGGTGAATTCAGCAAAACACATTGTAATCATGAAGCCTAGATTACATTTGAAATGCGATGCCCATAAGGTGCACGTATACTGCCCGTATTATCATTTTCGTACAGCCTTTGAATGGAGGTAGACAGTGGCCGTGCGAAATCGCTCCTTACGACTTCAAAAAGAAAAAAAAAGAAAATAATTTAATGCACAGTGCCCGTAAAAATATAATCTAGGCTTAAATGATAATTGGGGCCATTGTCACACAAAAAGAACTTAAGACCAAAATTTTAGCCTACTGTATTCCAGGGTACATTAGTAATAGTTGACTTACTATAAAATTAATTCAATATGGTGCCTGTTTTATAACAAGAAAGAAACGACTCAAATTTAAGACCAAGAGTTACAGCATGGTAGTCGACTTCTATGGATGTATTTCAAACATAATTACACAAAATTTTAAGTCTAGAAATTGAGACCAAATTTGGGGCTTAAGTTCTTTCGTGAAATGGGTCTCAGTAGTGTTGATAGCACTATGAAAGCAGTCATCTGGTGGTGTCAGTTAAAAAAAGAAACATTTATATTCAGCCATTTTTGTTCAACTTCTCTACATAGGCATTGCAGAGCACGTGGAGACCCACACTCCAAGTATAATGGATGGTAATATATGGCAATGTTACTATGTTCAATGTAGACTTTGTGTGCTACATAGCTCTTCTTATTAACAGCACAGAATACACCACTTTTATGTACATTTATTGACCTTCAGAACAAATTTTGAAGGTCAACTTGAAGGTCATCTTTACTTTGGATCATGTTCTGAAGGTTAACTTGAAGGTCACCCTTACTTTGGATTCGAATTTTGAAAGCCAGCAAAAGGTCAATTTTCATTGAGATCAAATTTTGAAGGTCAACAAGAAGGTCACCTTTTCTTGTTCATCTTCAGTGTTAAAACTTAAAGTATACAAACTTTAAGTCATCCTCATACTAATCTGAAATCATAGACTTGATTCTTAAATAAATATTTTGGAAAATAATCTGGAAACTAAATTCAAAGAACAACATATGAATGTTGATCAGTCACTGTGACTCTTCAGATTTAAGAATATATTGAAAATATAAGAACATTTGTGATATGCTAACAAGTTTTGATCAATGGGTGAAGGGAAAACCACTTTGGAGGATGAATTATAAAACTAAATGTTTCTTTTACTAACATATGTGGGATTTGCTTGTGATTTTGGTAATTGTTTATGGTGATGGGTGTTTGCCAAAGTTTTTACTTGTAAATGTGCCTCAGCATAAAGCACTTTTATATAACATTTTTTCTTTTGTATGACAAAATTTCTAATTTGAGATGAATTCTCCTGCACAGTTGTTCTTTTACTGGTTACTGTACAATGTTCATGCATGAACTTTTAGACAATTGTCTCAAAAGATTTTTAGGTAATGGCTGCCTTAAATGATGTTGATGTTGCTGTATATGTTGTAGTCTTGTCAGTGTAAATGGCAGTGGATTTTTTTAGGATAGGTGCTAACTTCTTCATGAAATTTTATATAATATGGATTTCATTTAAGATAATTTCCCTTATTGGACAGCTAATTGTTAACTACACCAAATTCACTCATTCAAAACACTGTTGAAAGTGCATTTAATTAATCTTCCATATTTTTTTGTTTTGTTTTATTTTTCATTTTCTCTTATCATCATGAGCCTCCATGCATATTCTTATATTTTATTTTTTTCACAGTTAATGGAAATAAAATGTTTAAAATACAGTATAATTAGGTTATGTAATAATGAACAATCATATAGTTCACTTAAAGTATGATACACAATCATCTCTCACTAGCCTTTAGTTATTGTTGTCCTAGATGCTAGTTGTTCTTATGATGTTGCTCTGTGTAGATTAGTGTTGTGATGGCATTTCTCTTGGGCAATTTATAGATCTGCAGATGTTGTATTAAGGGCATTATGTATCAGTGTCATAAATATGTATTTTTAAGCATGGTATGTTTTTGCACAATGGTACCTTTTTGTGGAAAGCACTATTTTAACAGAATGACATATACATCTTTAAAAAAAGTTTGTAGTATTTCATTTGCACTTTTTCTCTGTGACATATAATCACATTGATAAAAAACACTCTGATTAAATTTCTCTCTCAAGTTCTACCAGCTGTGTTTTGCATGGGCTTGATATAAGATTACTGTCCAAATATGTGCAATGTTTTCAAACCAAATGGATGTTTTGACTTTAGAATGTTTCTGCCTAGCTTTTCAATTGCCTACATTTAGAGTCCTTGGTTATATATATGTGTGTGTGTGTGTGTGTGTGTGTGTGTGTGTGTGTGTGTGTGTGTGTGTGTATGAAATGGATATATAAAGTCAGCTAAATAGGTACAGAGAAGCTACTAATTTGATGTTGAATTTGCTAGGTGTAAAGTAGATTTGAAAAGTTGATTCGAACAGAGTGATGTGCTTGCTATTTTTAAATGCAGATGCAAGTTCCTGACAACAGCGGTTTTGAATTTGAGGATGTTAAGTTGTCACATAATTAAGTACATAAAAGTAACATTATTATATGGTTTAGATTTTGTCAATCACTTTCAGTGAATTCTATTCCTCGGTCATATATTGCAATTATATACACTTCTCTTTCATTTGGGCAATCATTTTCATTTGTCCACTTCAACTGAATATAGTTTACTTCAATTTTACAACCTCCATTTTCATCATTTTCACTTTCATTTTTACCACTTTCACTTTCACCACTTTCACTTTCAGGTGAGGCCACCCTTGCAGAGACATGGGAATGGAGGGAAGGCAGGCTGTTTGCATATGAACTCATCTTTAGGTTCCTCATTAAGAACCATTGGTTGTACACCTTTGGTTTGGTATCACAGCAGTCGGTGCCCAAGCTACCACATGGACAGTCTATAGACGAGGGCAATGACCACAAGTAAGTGTAAACTTTTTTCAAGATTTGTGTAATTATTAAATAATTGTTATCTGTTTATTTTATTATGTATTTATTACTTTTTCTTAATTGATATGAGCTTAGTTGCATGAATATCCTATTATTTATTTATTCATTTATTACTTTTTTAAAAATTGAGAATATTCAAATTGTATATCTTTATTATACATAGCCAATAGTTTAAAGATTTTTTAAATTTTTCTTCCATATTTTAAGAGAATAGGTATTTAAAGATTAATTTCAATAGAAATTTCTCTTATGTCTATATTGTAGTTGGAAACTTTTTCATTTCAAATCAGTAGATGAATGAAATTTTCTCTTTCAGATCCCCTCGGGACAGTAAGCATGCTAAGCTCCAGCACAGCCAAAGTTATGGTGGTCAGGCTCTGAGGAACATGATGCCAAGGTCACCAGGAAGTCCAGATAGTGGGAGCTCGGGGGTGAGTAAGAGTAGGAAGTGCCCTTTGTGACAGTGTGTTAGGTGATACAGTGTGTTGGTTGTGACAGTGTGTTAGGTGATACAGTGTGTTGGTTGTGACAGTGTGTTTGGTGAGACAGTGCGCTGGTTGTGACAGTGTGTTAGGTGAGGCAGTGTGTTGGTTGTGATAGTGCTAGTGTGACACTGTGTTAGGTAAGACCATGTGTAGGATGAAACAGTGTGTTAGGTGAGACAGTGTGTTGGTTGTGATAGTGCTAGTGTGACAGTGTGTTAGGTAAGACCATGTGTAGGATGAGACAGTGTGTTAGGTGAGACAGTGTGTTGGTTGTGATAGTGCTAGTGTGACAGTGTGTTAGATGTGACAGTGTGTTAGTAAGACTGTTACATGTGACAGTGTGTATTAGGCATAACAATGTGCTTAGTATGGCAGTGTGTCTAGTGATAATTTATACATAAAATGAAGTGTTACTTGCATCTTACCAGTTCGATAAACAAAGGGCCATTTTGTATTGCATTTACATAAATAAAGAAAAAATCTCACTGCATACACTGACAATCTTGGGTACTTTTCCTAATAACAACTGATTTTCAGGTCCATTTCAAAATCATTTTAAACCATAATTCAGAAAGGAATTTTAAATTTTTTTGTGTTAAAAAGCTAGCATAATATTAATACATCGTCTAAGATTGTTTCTAATTACTTGAAAATGCAGTGATATTTTGGATTGTCTGGTGATGAAATATAGTTATAAGCTGGTGTTAAATTGTCCTATAAAGAAATTATTTCCTGACCCAGGACTCACTTTTACCATTCAACATAATTGCTAACCTCCACAATTTAATATAAACTCGAAAAAACAATAACCATCTTTGCATACTATATGCATAAGTTTTGAACATACTAAATCATTTCATAGCATGTTTTTGCCCTTGTTGAAGTGTGTTAACAACAAATATTAACATTCAGACTGTTAACAACTTGCACTCTTCACTGCAGACAAGTACAAAGCATGGTCACAGCTATGCAGGAACCACAATGGATAGTCTGTTTGTTCAGTTGCCTAGAAAGGGCAAAAAGGTAGGGGGCGCCACAGTACAGGTGCCTGTTATTCAAAAGGGTGCTTCTCCTTGGAGTGCTAAGGATGAATATAGCGTGATTTCCTTAGTTTGATCTACAGTCCTTTGTGAAGTGTTCTTAGGCATTATCTGGTGTGAAAAAGTAAACAACTCTGTTGAATGAAACATTCTGGCATTCTTTGCCATTTTGAAACAATCTTTTACCAATTTTTGGTATAAATTAATTTTTGTTCCAAAGTGTTAAGGGGTGTCTTTAAGTTCATATTTATGTCTTAGTAGTTTTTTTTCCCTTGGTTGCTTATTGGCCAAAAAATACCAGGTTCATCTGCATAATGGTCTAGTTTGATCAAAGCAAACCAGTGCATTCGCAAAGGCCTCTTTTATACTCATTTTATATTTAACAGTTGTAAAAACAAAGGTTAGCATTGCTCACTGTTCTGATCTTAACCTCATCTCTGGCCTTGACCTTGTTTTAACATCGTCCACAAATTTGAGCTTAAATCAGCTGTTCCTTTGTGCAAGTCTGTATTTGGCCTTGATGCCAGATGTGACCTTACCGCCCTTTTTCCTACCTCATTCCCAGCAATGAACTTTCCCATGCTTATTACCTTGACATTTCTTATAGTCTTTCTCATAGAACCTTGTCCATTAAAAAGCTGACTGGAGCCTTGTTTTTCACCAAAAGTTAAACCCCTTATAGCATAGTATGTCTGCTTGATTTCTTCATGATACCTCAATCTCAGTAACTGTTGAAGTAAGTATTACTGGTTGCTTCGACTCATTCTGTCACTTTCAGGTGTGCTCGTTTCATTAACTCATTTACAGTGTTTAATTCTATATTCTGTTAACCTAAAGAAAAAATCAAATTAATTGCAAGTTTAATATTATAAATCAGGTAATTAAGTGAAATGTATATAATCATGACTTAACAAGTTTATGTAGAGAGTGTGAAAAAAAATCAATATAATTATTTTTCAACAGTCAGCAATAAAATGCAGTACAAGCAGTCTTCAGTTTCAAATTGATAAATTATGAAGCATATGCCATTTTTTTTTACAGGAGTGCAATACAGTAGCCAATGAAGTGGATGTAGATATCCGTAGTGAGAGTCCTCTATCCACATCTGGCTCCAGTGCAGGAAGACCACCAGCTCCAGTAAGTGTGTGTGTGCTTGTGTATGTATGTGTGTGTTTATTAAGTATATGATTCTTTAAATGTATGTTGGTGCTTGCAATTGTACTCATCAGTGTGTTTGTGTAGATATGAATACCAGTGTTTGTGTGTGTGTGTGTGTGGGCATGCGTGTGTATGTGTGGCTGTATGTTTGCACATGTGTGTGTTTGTCTGTTTCTCTGTGTATCGTCTTCAGTGCATTTTGTCTTTTACATGTGTAAAAAGTTACATATATTGTTGTGTATATATGGGGATTATAACTAGACAAAGGACTCATTCCCAATTTAACTCGCTCTATGTAGATCGATCCAACAATCTGTTATATTTCAAAGTTGAATCGATCTACATAGAACAACAGTATTGTTGAAAGTGAGCCTCAACTCTTAAATTACACATTGATGAATCTATAAACATACCCCATAACATCCTCCCTTGGAAATCCTCCATGTCAGATAACATAATAATGTTGATTCTACTCGTGCATGCACTCTTTTCCTCATCCTGTTTCTGTCATTTCTCCCCTCCAGCCACTGCGTAGGGTAATGTGGGCGAAGGTAGTGTATGCACTCACTGTTTGATGAAGGCAACAATTACAACTAGATGGTCTCAGTCGTACATGTCACTCTGCTTCATTGTCTTTTGAAATTATTTTTTGTGTTTGTGTTATTTACGATGTTGGCATACTGTTCTTATTTATAGTAAGGAAAGAAATGAGGCTTAATACGTTTGGCAATTTGTCTTTCTTTAATTATAGTTATTAATATTTTTGTTATTTATTGTATTTTATTATTTAAATTGACAACGTTTTCTTTTGCCATTTTTTGTTTTAATGCTTTTTATTTCACTTTTTGGCTTCAAATTTGAAATTTCTATCATCCAGGTTGTATTGTTTCTTAAAACATTTTTGTCATCTGTGCTTTCATCCCACAGAAATATTTGGTATTCTGCAACCTGAGAATTCTCTCAGCCCTTAAGTTCAAACCTTGGTGTTATAAATAGGGGCATTTTTCTAGAGGTGGACATAAGTCTTGTGATTAATATTCTTCAGTAGATCCTTTTAGACCACAATTCATCCTATGTAGTATATAGCAAGGGCTGCTATGTTTTGAGAGATAGAGATTTTTGTTTTCTTAAATGTTTTCAGTTTCTTTTCTAATAGCTGGTAGTCATGTCTTGAAACATGTTACATCCTTAATAAAAAAAAATTACAAGTAATAAAATGATTTCCCTTGCTAAATAATTGCACTAAAATATTAAATCAAGAAATGAATGAAGTGATTTTTGCTACTCATCTTGCTCATTGAGTATATTTGGAATTTGGTTGAGTGGTGGTTGGTCCATGTAGGTAGAAGAAATGTGTCAATAGTGCCCAATCCTGTGAATTTACCTTAAAAGGAGAAATATGGGGATGAAGTATATTCTCTGCATTCGCACTGTTTAAATATTTGATTGTAATATTTTATTATGATTATGGAAGCCAGGAAAGATATTTTACTGTCAGAATGTACATGTGCAGAAACAGGTAAAGCTGTCTCAGGTATGAATATATTGTAGGGGGCCCAAAACTGTCCTTTATATTTCACTGTGTAATGTTTTGCAGTTGTTTGATTGACGGTCATTGTCTTTGCAGCAACGTGGTCAAACCGTAGGCAATTTTTACGTCCCTCAAGTACAGACAGAGCCACCTGGTGGTCAGATTAGAGCCAGGTAAGAATTGTATCATAATACTAACATTATAACTTTAAGAATAGAGTCCAACTGATGTCTTATTGAGACAAAGTGTGATCCCAGTATCATTGTTATGTTTGAATTTCCCTGATGATTTTAATATGAAAACTAATGGGTTGATAGCTCAGCTTTAAATGTAAGTTGAGGTACCATGCTCTAATATCTTGTTTGCATACTTCTTCTGGAGCGCATTCACATCGAGAAGAGCCGAGGCTCAACAAGGCCAAGACCTAAATATGGTGACGCCTTATCCTTTAATGGTCTCTCAATGAAAATGTCATTGAGAGACCATTAAAGGATTGGGCGGTTTTTCTTTCATGTATGTCCACCTTTTTTAGGTCTCGACCTTATTGAGCCTCGGCTCTTCTCGATGTGAATGCGCTCCTGTACTATCAACTACTAGTAAAAATACATCACATGGTTTCTCTTTACGCTCATAACTCACAGTTTGTGTTTTCTTTCAATAGGTCAGGCAGCATAGAGCATCACTTGACGTGCCCATCATTACGAAGCCTGGTGCACCAGTACTCGTATTACGTTAAACCAAATGTCCCATTCCGTCCCCCAGGAACGCTGTCTGGACCACAGGCCTCGTCACTTCTCACACACACACGGGTTATCGACAAGAGGGTTAGAAGACTGTCACTCTTAAATGGCATTTGATTTTGATTTTTAATTGATTTTCTAGCATTTTACATGTATGCATCTTGAAAATTTAATCATTTTGAAGTTTCTGTATTTGTATTATAAAAATGAAAGACCAACTTATCGGATATAGTTTTAGAATAAATAATCAATATTCAGTAATTACTCCGTTTTTTTATGGGGAAGTTGTGAATTTTACGGATATTGAATTTTTTATGTCAAAAATTCTTAAAACTAGAATAATACTATTTTAATGTGTGAAAAAAAATTAAAACAGGCATACAGTAAAAGCATCACAAATGCTTTATAGAAATATATATATGTAAAGATTATTTTCCCCATTGAAAAAATCCAATCATTGATGTAGTTATTTGAGTTTGTCACTTAGTTTCGACCTCATATTGATAGGGGGTGCAATATATTAATCATTGGCTTTTATATGATCCTATAGTTTGATTGTTGATTTTTCTCATTCCTTTACTGTATCTCCCATAATTCAATAATTCCAGGCCAAGAAGGAGGCACCTAGAAGGCCCAGTAAAGAAGAAGTTGGTCTGATTCCAAATAAAGACCAGAATATGCAGAGGTCAACCCTGTGTCCCTCTCCCCTGAGGTAAGACCATTGACCTCTATGTGTCAGTGTGTCGACGTTATTTATTTTACAAATGTGGAGAAATGGTTTAATATGTCATTTATACTCACTCCCAACTCAAAGTCTCACAGTGAATTGTTTGTACTTTTTAACAATACTAACAGTTGTGTGATTTTCTTTTTTTTTTATTACTTAAATGTTTTTTTTATTGTCACCAAAAATTTGTAATTTGCATATATTAGGTAGGCAGGCAATTTGGTGGGGTGGTTTCCTACAATTTTTTAGTAATCTACTGACCCTGAGCAGAAATAAAGTGGTCAGTAACTGACCAGATTTACAAGATTTTACCAGCCTCGATTCAATTTTGACTAACACATGACTCAGGGTCCAGAAGTTAGCATCACATACTCCATTACTCATATTTTGTATATTTATATTCACACCAGCAATGCCACTGACCAGGGCTTTCCAGATGACCGGGAGCCAGCTTGGCTGTCCAACCTAGAACTGAAGCCATTGTCCACTCTGTTGAAGAACATGCTGTATCAGACTGTGGAGTGCCTGGCTGACACACGCTGGGAGCTGAGGAGGATGGGACAGCAGGTATGGGTCGGATTGGAGGGGGCGGAGGGTGGGGGGGGGGGGGGGGGGGGGGGGGGGGGGGGGGGGGGGGGGGGGGGGGGGGGAGGGAGCAGGGCCCCGTAACTCTAAAGCATGGCGTATTGCAAATAGTGATATCACATAGAGGCTACAGTGTATTATATGTGGCAAGTTATGGAATTGAGATGCTTGCGTTCGATCGCAATGCGTGATGCTTTCGAGTTACAGGGCTCAGGAAGGGGATTGGGTTAGAAAGAAGGGGTTGGGTAAAAAGGGAAGTTAATTTAAAACTGGCTGCTATATATTTTGGGGACCAAGAAGGGAATGGGTTTAGATACAAGGGGTTGGGTGAAAAGGGTACTACTTGATTTAAAGCTGGCTGCTCCTTTTTTTTATCCTCTTCTTAAGTTTGGCATGTGGCAAAGTAAAAATCCTGGAAATGATAAAAGACAGACTAGAACATACTTAGTGAGTTAAAATGTCCACCAGAGCATAATCTGTACCCTGTAAACTACTGCCCATAAGTCATCATTGCACTTGGCCGCTTATTTCAGGGATTACAATAAACTTTTATTTTCATACAAGTAGGACTGATTTGAGATTCATTGAGGATGGAGGGAAAATGATTCACGGCAAAAATTCAGGGATCTCTTCTCACCTTTTTTTCAGGTGCTCCCTTGTGTAGTGGAGGTGATAAGGTGGTATGACATGGCAATACTGGAGGAGTTATGGAACGAACATCTCACCCCCAACACCACTCTACTCTGCTATGGTGCCTGTATTGCTTTTAAGTATTCCCTGTCTCATGCTGCCAAACTGGCCCCTATGTTATCTGATCCACCAGTCACATGGCAGGTTTGTATGCAATTTGAGGGCATGCTGTTTCATTGTATTAATGCTTCATACTAAATATCAGATTAATAAGAAATTGCATAGAAAAAGCAGTCAGCCTTCATTTTTATAATTAATTTTTTTTTTTAATTTTTGGATTTTTTAAAAGATCATTACACTCTCTAACTCTCATTCACATAATTTTTTTGACACAGTAATTATTCTTGATAGAGAAGATTAAATTATCTGTATTATTTGTCTTTGGATTTTGTATAACAATAGACTTAATAAATTAAAATTAGCAAATTAACTTTTCAATGTTTCATTTTTTAGGATTCAGAAACCTGCAAACGTACAGTTCATGCCATCACCACCTCGGTCACTGCTCATCTGGCTCTACGTGTCACATGTGCCAACAGTCTTCTCCATCGCCACTGTTTTGATAGGCTGTCCCTAGTTGCCATGGAGATACTGATGTTGGTGCATACACACTTTACTTTACCAGCTGATCAGGTGTGGACTTTGAATAATGTTATAATACTTATTAATAATAATAGTTATAAAAATGTTGATAGTAATAAGGATATTTAGACTTAAGTGTTATAACAGTGAAGATGATGATGATATTCATTTATTGCTCCCTAAATAAGTTGGAATGTACAATGTTAAGTTTATTTGTGCCTTTTCTTAGCCTGATAACCTTAATGTGTTGATAAAACCTCAGTCTCATTTTCATTTTAGTGCTTATGAGCGAAAAACACAGAACACTTATGTAAAATATAAATAAAACAATACATACCAAAATAGAAGAATGATAGAGTTATAAATAAAAGGTGTCTAGAATTTGTGATCAGAAGAAATACTGAAAACCATTGTTTCAGAAATCTAGAGAGGTTCGCACCATAGTGAACTTCTGCCAGCAGATGTTCCTCCATGCCCACTCAGACAGCAAGCTGGGGACAGATCTGGCCAAGGTGGTCCAACCTGTCACCTTTGTCACCCCACTGGACGGGTTCCTCAGGTACAAGGATAAAGAATTAGAATAAGAACTGATTTTTTATATGAATTGCTTTAAGCCATGACTTACATTGTATGGTCAAGTTACACACTTACATGACAAGATATATATATATATATATATATATATATATATATATATATATATATATATATATATATATATATATATATATATATATATATATATAAGGGTAAGTAGTATAGCAACAGATAATATGACAACTTTTGGATGGATTCCTAACTTAGATAAAGAATTTTATTGATTTTAACCATGATAACATACATGGTGTGATGAAGCTATAGACATAGAAGACTGTATAATGATATCTTAAGGGGAACCTAGTATTATTACAAATAAAAATATATAAAGTGAGGCATTACAGTTTAATCTTAAATAGTTTCATCATTTTACATTACAATCTTGGATACTTATTCAATATCTAAACATTTTATTTTTTTTCTTCAGTTTCTCCCCAAGAGAAGAGAAGGTCCAGCACTGTGCTAAACAGGTGGAGAAGCATGTGCTGTCTGAGCTGCAGCAGGTGTTGGTGCCCTTCCTCAAGGTCACCAAGGTCACTGATATCCTGAGCTTACTTCCTGTCACAGTGTTCTATATAGGAGAATATGTCGATGACGAGAAGGTGGCTAATACTGTTTTGCAATGGTAAGTGTTTACCCTGGTTATCAGGCTTTAAATAATTACTACACAGGAGAATATGTTGATGATGAGAAAGTGGCTGATATAGTTTTGCAATGGTAATTAAGTGTGTGCATGTAACCCTGATGATCACAGTGTAAATTTATTACCTATTCCATAAAATGGCATATTTTGTGATTGAGTAACTTAGGCAAGTGAAATATACACTGAACATTATCACTTTAAATTTATAATTATGTCAAAATAATGTTTTTCTTAACAAGACTTGTTGTGCTTTTTCTTAAGTGTTTAGACAAAAATCTTACTGAAAGAGAAAGACAATTCAATGTTTTCTTTTAAATTATTTTTATTGATTGATAGTTTGATTGTAGATAAAATTTTGTAAAGATCTCACATTTCTGCATCTTGGCATACAATATTTGAGGACAAAGCGTGCCAGGGAAAATTACAACTCGAACAACTAAATGATAGGAATACAAATAAAACAAGTAACTTTCAAGTATTTTTATTTACACAGTCATGTTTATCATTTAGTGTCCAAATCATGACAACAAACCTGATAGAGCAGGTCAGACAAGAAGGACTGAATGAGGACAGGGCAGTGGAGGTGAACAGGTATACAGGATGGGCCCTGCAGGAGATTGCCAGCTTGGTGTCATCAAGGGTGAGTCCCCATTCTGTTTCCAGCCTCAGTTTGAGCAGGAAGTTTGCAATGTGATTATGGTGATAATGAGTCTTGTTTTGTACCATTTGAGATTAACATAAAGCTGGTATTGGTTGCTTTTTGGAGTAAAATGTACATTTTGACTGGACTATAAATATGTCACCCTTATAGATATCTTTTATCTTCAATCATTATTTTTTGCAAAATATTTTGATAACTTGTTGATAATATATACTTTTATATAATTTTAAAAATCTTATTCATATGCATTGATGATAAAGGTAATAAATGTATAACCACCCAACTTCTTATTCTAAACTAAAAAAAAAAATCCTCAATGTTAAAATAAACTGTTTAAGTTATGACTCAAGCACTAAATGTCTTTCAGAGTACGGAGCTCCACATCTTGCGCCACTTGTTGGAGTTACATACCAGTTTGAATAAGTTTGCCTCAGGTCCTCAACATCTCAAGTCCTTGTTCCAGGCTGTTTGCTCCCGCATATCCATGGTGAGGCTATAATAGTCTTTCTACCTTTTTTCTTTCTTTCTTTCTTTCTTTCTTTCTTTTTATGTACAGACACAGATGTGTCTGTACATATAGCCATCATCTGCGTCTGTCGTCGCCGTCGTCGCCGTCGTGCNTTGTTTCTAAATTTCTTTCTTACTTTCTTTTAGATTTTTATATTTTATTTAGTCAATTTGATGATTATTTCATGCAGAATTATATTAAAACTGTCTCAGACCTTTTAAAAAAAATTCTAAAATTTGGTTGCCTACAATATTATTCATTGAGAGTGGTCCCAGATCACCCTGGGTTTCATAGGTAGTTTTAAAAGCAGAGACATGATGATCATGATGGCAGTGAGTTTCCTGTAACCTCTGGAACTTGGGGCATCCTAGATAGAACAGACACGTGATGAGTAACCCTCTGTTTTTATTCCCAGGTTGACACAACGAAGCCAAATTTTCCTGCCCATGAGAATCTCGTCATCTTATCCAATGATATAGCCTCTCCTGTTCCCTTCACTGACAAAGTGGAAGATGACACAGACTCTGAGGAAGAGGAAACCAAGCTCTTGGGTGAGTTCACAGTAGGAATTCTAGAATGGTAGTTGGTCTAAACTATTAGACTGGGTTCCCATAAACCTATTGTGCAAGTAGGATCGATCTAACTCAGAGGGAATTCTCGCTAAATTGCATTCAATTTAAGGAGCTTAAATGTCTGTCACACCCACTGAAGCTGCTAGGGGGGTGATTAACTTTCATGCACTCTTTAACTGGATGCAACTTAAAGAGAATCCCCTTGTAGATAGATCGATCCTCCTAGCACGATGGGGTTATGGGAATAGTCCCTTAGAACATAATTTTAGTCTGCATTGACCCAAGGTGTAGCAGTGCAGACACTCAGGTAGTTGCAATATATCTGTGCATAAAGAAATTTGTGATACTAGATTGGACAGCAATGTTACTATTTGCTTTAAATTCACAGGGATTAATTTTTTCATTAAAATAAAGTTCGATAATGGGCCAGATCAAATTAATTCTTACATTTTGAATTATATTTTTGGTAAATAAAATTTCCCTTTTTTCACTTGAAGCCGAGACAGTGTCGGACACCATGTTGCAAGAATCCCTCATTCTCAATGGCAGCAACAACAGCGGAGGTCAGCTTTCTGGTCGGCAGAGTGCTATGAGTGGGTGTAGTGTGCCCTCTGGTGGCCGTCAGAGTGCCATGAGTGCAATAAGTGGCGGCTCAGTAGAGGGCAGCAGTTGTCGTCTGATGTCACAGATGTCAAATCCTTCAGATGCTGGGTCTGACTGGGACAGCTGGAGTGAAGATGAAGAGGTAGATTTGGCTTGTTTTTATTATTATTATTATTATTTTTTTTTTAATTTTTTAAGATAACCTGATTTAGGTTCAGATCTGTTGTGTGTGTTGTCTGCATACTAAAATCTCCATAAATGAATGAGTTAGGTTAGGCACTTATCCAGACGTGAGCATTTTGGCGGCATCACAAATTTCTGAGATTTTTACTTCAGTTTTGATAGGATCTAAGGTGACCACAGCCCCTCAGCCAATTAAATTTTCAGATCAGTGATAATTGCTGGGGATGTTTTAAAGTCCAGTTCCATGTCTGTTATACTAAAAGTGAACATATTTAAAACACAGAAGTAAGCATTGCATGGAATATGAAGCTTGTTGGTAAATTTTGAAAAACTTTTTTAAAAACTTATTTTACTGTCTTATTCACTGCAAGTGAATGTATGAATAAATTCCAGCTTCATGAATGGTTTTATGACTTTGACACCCATTGGAAAAAAAATGTTATTTTAACTGTAGTCAGATACTGGGGAAGGTATTGTAATTGTTGAATGGCTATTGGAAACCAAAATTCATCCCGATGACTCACTGGATATTTTCAATATATATAAATATATATATATATCATTGAGATTTAAATTTGTATTTCAGGATCAGCCTGTTCTGTATAGTTTGTTCTCCGAGTTCCTGGACAATCTACATAAGCAGTACAGTAAACTGCCTATTGAGGGTGAGCTCCTCTCTCTCTCCCTCTCTCTCTCTCTCTCTCTCTCTCATTATATTTTTAAGATTTTAAAATATACAAACACTTACTTTGATATGTTACTTTTTTGACTTTTTTTATGAACTTTGTGTTTAAAATGCAAATCATTTTTATACAAAATGCATTCTTGATTTTTTTCAGAGGACAAAACATCTACATTTGCTGCTGAATTGAGAAAAGTTTCAGAGAAGGACAGGAAGCTTCTTAAAGGCATCATGGGTAAAAGCTGAGGCATGCTGGGAGATTGCCCAGTGGTTTACGACCCACTTCTTGTGGATAGGAAGACAATAGTTCTTTCAGCTGTGCCAAATTCAATGCCGATGACAATACTAGTATATGTCAATGACAGTCACAGTCTTAACAGCAGGGGTTTATTTCATAAAAGAACTTTAAACAGAACAATTGCCTTTTTATATTTTGGTCTATTTATATCCAGTATACAACTGCAATACATGGTCTAAAATTATAGTCCTTTTTTGTTACAAAAAATTCCCTGTGGGAGGACAACTGCTAGCAAATGTGAGATAAAATAGACTAAATTTTTGGTTTTTTGGTCTATGGTTGTTTCATGAAATTGCCTCCAACAGCTGTTAACATACAGCTGAAGACGTGCATTGACAGTAAGAGGACTTAGTTATTACTAGAAAAGGCATATCAAGCAAAAGGAAGCCAACTTTTGTAAATTGAAATATGGATTATGTGGGCATGTCATTTAAACTTTGAAATTTTCCCAGATTTTGGGCATCATGCATTTTATCTTTTGATATGTTATAATAGTTATATACATATAATGATGTGTAAGTTATTCATTTAATTTTTTTAAATAAATTTAAATGATAATGTTATATTTCCATCATGTTTATGATGTGGTATTCATCAGCACCAAAAAATATGTATCCTCTCCATTCATAATTAATTTTTTATATATTAAATTGTTAGACTTGACCATCTGTGAATCTCTCTAGACTCAGGGATGAGTTACAGGTAGTAAAAGTAGCAGAATGTTGAAAAAGAAGCTGCCAGACTTTGTACCGTCCCAACAAGCTTCATGTCATACCTCAGAGAGACCAAATGTCTCAGTCATATAGAGGAGGGGCTAGTTTCGCTTTAGACTGAAAGTTGGTCTGAACTCTGAGATCAATATCAGGCCCGTAGCCAGGGGGGGTTCGGGGGGTTCGAAAGAACCGCCCTTTTTGCTGGGAAAAGGTCCACTCTGGGTAAAATTTGATCTAGGTACATGAAGTTTTTATGGGAAAAGGTCCACTTTTTCAGAAAAAGAACCCCCCTTTTGAAATTGCTGGCTACGGGCCTGAATATGGTGATTAATGTGCAGTGGTTCTTTAAAATAGAATAGACATCAGTCCAATATGTTCACCATTCTCTCCTTGTGATAAAACCCGGATGATATTTATTTTAATTGGACAACTGCTGATTTAATCTTGGGATGTAGTAGATTAAAATTTGGTCTGAAGTCTTATTTTTGTGACATGGGCCCACCATGTTGTGTTTGTTGTGATTGGTTTAAACTTGGTTTTAATATCATATGAGCATGGAACTAAAGCCATCTCAAAATTTATGCAGTTTACTTTAGTTTGTATTTCACAAAAAGACTTCAGTTCTTGGATTGAACTTAGACTGCTAAAATCAAATACATGTAGCTACCTACGTGAAGTTTTTACAATGTAGGTTTAAGAGCTTTAAAGAATGATTGACCCAAAATAAATTTGCTTGACATTCTTAAGTGTGATATTGAAAGATCTTCATCAAGACAAACACTGTTCAGTTAGCTTATTTAAGAGACTGAAAATAGAGGTAAGCAGCCTCAAAAGTTTCTTTCTGCAGCTTAGTCTGTTAAGGCTAAGTAAGCTAAAATATTAGCCCCAAGACTTACTAATTATTTTTGTGAAACAAGTCCTTTTGTTCAAAATGGATGTGTTATGTTCTCCAAACTAGATTTGGTCATNACTCTGGGTAAAATTTGATCTAGGTACATGAAGTTTTTATGGGAAAAGGTCCACTTTTTCAGAAAAAGAACCCCCCTTTTGAAATTGCTGGCTACGGGCCTGAATATGGTGATTAATGTGCAGTGGTTCTTTAAAATAGAATAGACATCAGTCCAATATGTTCACCATTCTCTCCTTGTGATAAAACCCGGATGATATTTATTTTAATTGGACAACTGCTGATTTAATCTTGGGATGTAGTAGATTAAAATTTGGTCTGAAGTCTTATTTTTGTGACATGGGCCCACCATGTTGTGTTTGTTGTGATTGGTTTAAACTTGGTTTTAATATCATATGAGCATGGAACTAAAGCCATCTCAAAATTTATGCAGTTTACTTTAGTTTGTATTTCACAAAAAGACTTCAGTTCTTGGATTGAACTTAGACTGCTAAAATCAAATACATGTAGCTACCTACGTGAAGTTTTTACAATGTAGGTTTAAGAGCTTTAAAGAATGATTGACCCAAAATAAATTTGCTTGACATTCTTAAGTGTGATATTGAAAGATCTTCATCAAGACAAACACTGTTCAGTTAGCTTATTTAAGAGACTGAAAATAGAGGTAAGCAGCCTCAAAAGTTTCTTTCTGCAGCTTAGTCTGTTAAGGCTAAGTAAGCTAAAATATTAGCCCCAAGACTTACTAATTATTTTTGTGAAACAAGTCCTTTTGTTCAAAATGGATGTGTTATGTTCTCCAAACTAGATTTGGTCATTTCTTTCACATCCAGCTAGGACCATTCCTAATATACTGAGCTATGACATTCTGGCATTTGATTGGCTTGCATGTATGCCTTTTTTTTTTCAAATTACATTTGTATTTTATAAAAATTGTACTATGTTACATGTAGCAGACATTCCTGTCTTAGAGCTTCAGTTCATAAATTGTTGGAATCTTTATTTTTAAGATAAAATGTAGTCTGAATATTAGTTAGGTTGTATTTTTATTTATTATAGTCTTTATTAAATTTTTTTATTGCACTTGTACATTTGTTCACTAAGTTTCAGATTTTTTAGAATTATTTTGAAAACAAAAAATTGTATATCAATGATAAATTATGTATAAGAAAAAAGAAAACTGGAGGTTGTATCTGTAAATAAATGAATCTGAAAGGGTAAATTTGCATTTGTTCTGTTATAATTGTATTGTGAATGAGTAATGATTTTATTGAAGACTTAGAATTGGACATTTCAATACACAAAACAAGTTTGCAGTTCAAAGTTAAATTAGATGAGCATGGTTTGGTGTTCTCACCCCACTAAGTGAAAAATATTTGAAGTCTGAAAACCTTAATTAAATTTCATTATCATCCCCACTAATGCATTCTACTGAATGCTTGTATAACTTGATGGAATTTGCTTGTATAACTTGATGGCACATTAAATGCACTGCACTAATATAAAAAGGTTAATGCATTCAAATGTAAATAAGTATAACTACTTTATTTTAAAGGATAAATTACATTTGCGTCAGCTCTGATTATCAGTGTGGAATGTGGTTATTTTATGTGGTCCGAAAACGAATCCACAAATCGGGGCATTTACGTGTACTAAATAGTTGGGGTCAAGATAAAAATGCCAAAATCCTGACCTCTAAAGATAATGACCTATGGCAAGCGCAGAACAAAAAAAATAAAATATTTACAACGTCATCATTGTAAATACATCAAAGTTTAAGCATATCTTTTACACTTATGTCCTTTGTTGGATGAAGCGACAGCAGGCTCTCACACGTGCACATTTTTTTTTAACATTCTGGCAAGCGTCCAAGAAAGCTGAAGGGGCTCGTCACGTTGAACGATATTTCAACCAATCAGAACACAGAATTTGTACCCCTCCTCCCTTCATGACCTTGAACAACGGCGAAGACTTCTCAAACCCAAGGCTAACGTTGACTGTAGAAGGTTCGGAGCATTCTTAAAGTAATAAGTGAAGATTACATCTGATCATTCTGAAGTTTATTCCTAAAGGTGAGTAACTTGTGTAAGGTATTTAATTTGGAGTACTAAGTTAGTATCTTTAAGCTTAAGTGGTTGTCAAGACGAATTTAGGGACTGAAAATTCCGCGCCCCACGTGGCGGAATGTTTACTTTGTGAACTGCTTTGTGTGTTTGATTTTTTTAATTGTATTTTAACCTTGACGAACAAAACGGGTTAAAAGGGATTTCTTTTCATTAGTAGTTGAGTGTTGTTGCACATTCTGTTTATGATTTTTTATTTTTATAAGTATATAAGATGCTAATTTATTATAATGAATATTACTCGGGTCATTATACTGTATGTGTACTATATAAGGTCATTCACTGATCCACTTACCAGAGCGAAAATCAATATTTGAAGAACGGACTTAAATCGAACGAAGTCAAGTCGCAATATTGCTTTAACTGACCAGTACGTCATTCTGCTCGAAATGCGTTAATTTGGCAAAAACCCAAACATTTGTGAACAGACGCTGAATTGCAAATATGTACAATACGCCAGCGTTCCCTTGACAATGACAGTAGAGTAAGCCCATAGGAATGATAACTTTTAAAGAAATTTATAAACCACTCCAAGATTGTAGGGTGAGTTCGCATTCTCAGTAATTTTGGAAAACTAATAAATGGCGTTTTTCCTAAAAAGGACAATGGACATAATTTCGTCATTGTTGACATTTTTCCAGTCCGCTGAACAATTATGCAACCTTTATTTATAGACACTTGCCAAATGTTGGCCTCTTGCCAAGAACTTAAAGATCATTATCAATTGATACCTGGCGTTCACATTTTTTAACAAATAATGCCTAAATTTCCTGCATCCAGTAGTCAATTGCTCCTATCTTTATGGATATCAAGTTCATTAAGAAATGGCATGTGCTTATCTTAATCTATCTTAATCTAAATTCTTATGAGGCAAGTAATATCTTTGCATGTAACGTCCACTCTGTGAATGACCAGGGGACCCTCTGCATAGCCCACAGTGGCACTGGAGTTAGTTATCAGATGTTGACCCCACGTT